CTTCATTATAGGTGAAAGGTTGTGGAGAAGCTTCCTGTGAATCGATCTTCTCTTCACCAATTCAAGGATACATGCTGGGTTTATTATCTGCTTGTCTCTCAGCATTGGCTCTCAGCATTGGCTGGTGTTTACACAGAATTCTTGATGAAAAAGAATAATGACAGCTTATACTGGCAAAATATGAAAAAGAATAAGCAACCCAAGATCCTTCATGTAGAAACAACGATTCAAATAACCCTTGAAAGTTGCAATGGAGAAGGTATCATTGCCAGAAATAATCAGATCATCAACATACACCAATACCTGGAGATGAACATAACCACGATGTAGGGTAAAAAGAGAGTAATCATGGTAGGACTGACGGAAACCATAATGTTTGAGAGTCGTCGCCAACTTGGCGAACCAGCAGTGGGAAGCCTGCTTTAAACCATACAGAGAACGACGGAGACGAAAAACTTATCCACCAACACCAGTACGAAAGCCAGGTGGGAATTTCATATACACCTCTTCATCTAAATCACCATGTAGAAAAGCATTGTGAACGTCCATCTTGTGAACTTTCCAATGCTTGGCAGCAACTACAACAAAAAACAGTCTGACTGTAACCATTTTGGTGACCGGAGCAAAAGTCTTATTATAATCGAGACCTTCCACCTAATTGTTCCCCATTTTAGACACGCTTTATACCGTTCAACAGTATCATCGGCCTTGTGTTTGATCTTAAAGACCCATTTGCACCCGATAGCACGTTTCCCAGATGGGAGAGAGACCACATCCCACGTGCCATTATTTTCCAAGACACGAATCTTATCCTGCATAGCAACTCGCCATCGAGGGTCTATCACGACATCTGCAAAACTACGAGGCTCAACAGCGAAGGCGACAACAACTAAGAATGCTCGATAAGCTGGAAAAAAAGACTCACAAGTAACATAATGTGCTATTGGATATGGCATACTTGAGGATGGAGACACCTCGGGAGAAGCAGTGGGGGAGCAGTCGAGGAACAAACAGTATCAACCACAAAGTCCTTCAGACTCCACCCCTTCTTGCCAAACGGGTATCCCACAAACACACATCGATGATTCCGAGTAGTAAACTTGTCAATTGCGGTCTTGGTTATGAGCATAATAAAGACAACCAAAAACACACAAATGAGAAAAGAGAGGAGCAGACCCGTAAAGAATCTCATACGGAGTTTTACCATGCAAAACCGATGAAGGGGTACGATTGATCAAATAAGCCGCAATCAGAACACAATGACCCCGAAAAGGAAGCAGCATATGAGCATGGAACCGCAATACACAAGCGATATTTAGAATGTGCTGATGTTTGCGTTCTACACGCCCATTCTGCTGAGGGGTGCCTACGCAAGATGTCTCATGTAATATCCCTTGACGACGAAAATAAGAGGCAAACACATGAACTCACTTCCATTATCGCTACGAACAACACGTACCAATTCATCAAATTGTCGCTTAATCATAGCAAAAAATTCAGCATTGTGGAAGCAACCTCCGTCTTATCATTCAATAAATAAACCCATGTCCCACGAGAAAAATCATCCACAATAGTCAATAAATACCGTGCACCACAGAAGGACGGAACACGATACGGACCCCACAAATCACAAAGAATCAAATGAAAAATCTCATGAGTAACAGTCTGATTGTGAGAAAAACTACGACAATGTTGTTTAGCACGAAAAAAAGCATCACACGATTTAAGCAAATAACGAGAACTAGAAGCAATAACAGGAGCTTGTGACCAGACGGATGACCCAAACGTTGATGCCACACTTCAGGAGTAACCTTCCGAACACAAGAAACTGCTGTAGAAATCGTCTCTAGAAAGAAGTAGAGACCACCCTACTGCTCACCTGCGCCAATCACCTTCTGAGAAGTGTGTTCCCAAATAACACAAAATTTGTTAGTAAACTGAGCAGTGCAGTCAGAACGATCCAACAATTGATAAATTATTTTCTATTTTAGTCTCTATTTACTATTTTCATAGTTTTTTTTAATGCTTAAACTTTTGTTTCGAAACTTGATTTTTGCGATGAAAATATGTTATTCGCATCATACGAATAAGACTACCTCCTAGTCTAACCAACACTATACCCGACTCTATCAACTACTTCTTTGGCGACAACTAGTGGACTTCAAACTAGCTATGGATTCCCTTACAACTACAAAAGTACTTAATCCCTAAACACTTAAAGTGCTTGTGAATGAAGAAAGAAAATAGTTCTTCAGCGATGTATGTAACGCCCCGAATACTTTTATTATTAATGGAGCTTGGCTTTATTTCCATAATTAGCAAGTTTT